ATCCAATTAGGGAATAACAGCAGGAAAAGAAGCAGCAAGGAGCGAGAGGCCTCAGCCAGGGAGCCCAGTGCCACATAAAAACAGAACCAGAGCTGTTGTCAGGTGACTGGAGCCTTTCATGGGCCCTGAATGGCCATGAGCAGTGGTCCAGCCATGCCTGAGAACTGACCCTGTTACCAGGCAGTAGATTCTCATGTTCCTCACACCCCTCTACCCTCACAGTAACCTTTTGTGATAGAACATGTAACTGTTCAAAAATATTTGGCACCTCTTTCTATGGAAGGCTTGACCATATGGCTGCTTCAGTCAATAAAACCAGTGGAGATAGTGTGTGTCATTTACTACATTATTTGTTTCCACGATAACCTACACATTTCAGGTGGAGGATGCTCTATCTGCCCAAGTGCCAGAGTAAAGGCCACACAGGACAACCTGCCATCATCAATCAAAATGATCATGTAACCTGAGTGAGAAGTAAACCACTGAGGATATAAGCCATTGAGATTTGGAGGTTGGGTGTCGTCCCAGAAAAATCTAGCCTAATCTGACCTAAAATTCCAATAACTATGGTATTTAAATTCTTTGTCCTACAATTACTAACATGATGTGGGACCTTTGGGAAATCATAGATCATAAGCCTTCATGAATGAGTTTTGTGCTGTTATAAAAGAGGCCCAGGAACCCTCCTTGACCCTTCTTCCATCTGAAGACACAGCTAGAAAGTACCGTTTATGAGGAAAGAGAACAGCACTTTGATCTTGAACTTCTCAACCTCTGGAACTGTGAGAAACAAATCTTGTACCAGTCTGTGGTACTCTGGTGATAGCAAACCAAATGGACTGTGTCTCAAGGTAACCCAAACAGATGTCTATTCCTTTCAAGCCTAAAAAGTCTCCTCCAATGTAATGCCATAGCCAGCCATGCTTCAATCCACTCAGCTAACAGCAGGAATTTTTGCTATTTTGGGGTAGAATTGTTCTACTTTCGAATTGTTCATACTCCCGGTATTTAGCTCCACTGTCTATCTCCTATGTGTATGTCTAACGTAAAAATTGGTACAAAATAGTGTCTGGATTAAACCACTATTAATTTCTGCCTTTTGCCTTTGAGGCTTAAGTCTTTTATGATATGCCTCCTTCTATTTTATTGTACACTTTTTTCCTAGAAGAGAACTGAATATCAAAATGAATACCCATGTATTTACCTAGATTTTATAATTATCACTTTACTTTATTTACATATCTGTACATTCGATCAACACATTCTTTCCTCTATCTTGGTTTTTTGGGGATACATTTCAAAGTAAATTATAGACTCATTTTGGCATAATGTTCTATACCATGACATTTAGTTTTTTTCCATTAAACTTTAGATTAAAAAATATTTCTAAGTCTTATTGAAGGTCACTCTGTTTCCCTGCCTGCCCAAACTTGCACATTTGCACCTTTTAACAATGAAGAATTCAGTACATTTGTCCACATTACATAAATCCCGGGTGCACACACTTTTTAAATCTTGCTCTTGTTTTTTCTCCATTACTTCCTCTCTTATCTCTTCACTTGGCACAACTTTCATTTGCTTTCCCTTTTCTCTTTCAGTTCCCCAGCAGATAATTTTTAAACTAAACAACAGCTGAACAATACCCCCACTGTTCTGCGTGTCTGGGTATGCATGGCACGTCCACGCTTGTCCAGAAGAGAGGGAAACACAATTTCTTCTTTTTTATTTCTTTGCATCAAAAGTGATTAAATCTGTCTGCAATGACCTTCATACATCAGACCATTTGGCTATTTTTAAAGTCTATTTAATAGAGTAAGCCAAGCTGCATTCCTGTCGTAGAAGAAATCTTTACCACCAAATGGTGTGGTAAATGCCAAGAGAACAATTCATCTTTTGTGGAACAAGAGAGACACTCTGCCAGTCTACAATTGCTGGATTGTTTAAATTATCATACGGTAATTCATGTTAGTTACATATTTGCATTGTTATACAAGTATTTTCTTAATTTGGTTAAAGATAACTTTTTGAAGAGAGTCCTGATCTTGCAAAGCAGACTTAATAGGCCTTGTTACGTGATCTACTACATTTCACTTTATTACTCTAGCCAGTTTTTTCATAAAAGGCTATCAGCACTGAGGTAAAGAGCTTACAGATAATCTCCAGCAACTCAGGAACCCCTGTTTTATTTACTAGCAGCCATAACAAAGCTTTTGGCTAAAAAAACAAAAACTTTAAGGAGCATTTTCCTTTTTGATCAGCATCAGTTTCACGGAAATCTTTCCAACTTTGTCCAGGATTATAAATTTGGATTGGCTGTTTCTCAGTGAAGGAGAAAAAATGGAAAAATTTTTGTAATAGAGTATTACAGGAAGAAAGTGAATTGTCCAGAATTATACTAGCTGTTCCTACTTTTTAATGTCCAAGTCCTCATACAGGAGTTATTTATTTATTTAGTTATTTGGTATGGAGGATCGAACTCACGAACTCACCCTTGCCAGGCAGGCACTTACACTGCCGAGTTAATCCTCAGCCCCATGAGTCGTTTTTTGATTTGATGCCTAAGGTTGAACAGTGAACTCACTCATTCAGTACTCATTCCTGTTCCAGTCATGCTGGGAACAGAAAGAAGATATTTGCCCTGTCCTCACAGAGTTTGTAGTTTTGTCGGGGGCATGACACACGAGCCTGTAGTTATGTTGTAGCCTGAGGAGCTGTAACAAGGGTGGAGAGAGAACTGGCGAGGAGCATTGCTTAGAAAGAAGACATAAAAATGCTTAGAAAGTGTTTCTGGGAACATCTTCAGACACATGGGAATGATTGGAGAAGAAAGGAACCATGGTTAAACCTTTCTCTGTTATAAACACAAAACAACTCCACACAAGCTGGCTTTTAAAAAGGACATATGATGGTTCACATACTGAGTGTCCTATGGGGTGGACTGCCATAACTGGACCCAGGGTCTAGTGCAGTGCCCTCGGGAGCCTGCCATCATAGAGTGCCCGACACTAGTTCCCTTTTTCCTTCTTAATAGGACCCAGCATGTATTCACTCACATTGGAGCTGCTTTTGTTCCTCAGGAGTGGCTGGGCTTAACAATTTTACCTGGAGCAAATAAAGTCACATTCTGAGGTACTGGGGCTTAGGACTTTATATGTGAGTTTTGAGGGGACACAATTCAATCCGTAACACCTCACCTTTCCCTCCTCCCTCCCTCTGTGCTCCTGCTGATACTGCCCACTGGCTGAACCCAACCAGAGTGTAAGGGAGCCTGCTGGTGTGAACTATAAAATCACCATTCTGAGGCACAGAGCTGGAGTAGAAAGGGTGCACCTGTAAGTGCAAAGAGAATTTTACAAATACTTTGTGTGCCTTCATTCTTTTTTTACTTTCTTATTTTATTTTATTTATTTTATTTTTTGAGATAGGATTTCTGTATGTAGTTCAGGCTGGCCTTAAACTCACTTTGTAGCACTGGCTGGTCTCAAATTCACAGTGACCCTTTTGCGTCAACCTCCTGAGTGCTGAGATTACAGGCATATGCCACCATACCTGGCTTGCCTTTATTCTTGAGAAGGATTCCTCCAGTTAGCAACTAATACCTCTTGACTGATTTGGATCTTACCCCCACCCCCCGTCTTAATGGAGAAGCAGGGACCCTCTATCTCCCAGTTTTCATAACAGTTTTCTAGAGAGTTGATCAGCTCTGTTTGGACTACAGGAAGAGATTTGAGATAGAGAAGTTAGGTTACCTGCTCTTCTGCGCCATGGCCATTTTCAGCCTGCCTCTTCCTTTACCCTGGTCCTTGTTCTCCCGATGACTTTCTAGATTTCTGTCATCTAGGGACTGCATTCAGTTGCGCATAATGAAAATTCAAGAGCTATGGAGATAAACCAGATGCTGTTTATTTTCCTAACAAAATGACTAGAGCAGGGCAGGCCTCTGGTGGCCCAATGGCTTAAGGAAGTCAGCAAAGTCTCTGGTTCCTTCTACATCATTTCCCCATCCTTAATATGTGACTTTTGGCCTTATGGCTAACTGGTGCTGTTCCACTCCCAACCCCACGTTCAGTTCCAGACTAGAAGAATTAAAAGGAGCCTTGAAAGAATTAAGGGCAGTAGAAATCAAGAAAGCAGGGTTTTCTGTGAAATCCCTAGAATCTGTTCACATATATCTCAAAAAACAGAACTTGCTTCCTGGAAGCCTTAGAAGTATATTTTTTGGTTGAATTGATTGTCGCTTAGAAGAATGAGATTTCTGTAATGAGGATGAAGTGGAAAGTGGCCATTAGGTGAACATCAGCAGCATGGCCATGGTACCATGCACTTGGCTTCTGTTTTTTTTTTTTAATGTAGCTTTTGCTTTTCTTTTTGGGCTTTCACCTTGGAAGTTGGCCTCCAGACCTGCAGAACCATCACTATAAGGATGCAAGTGGACTGGAAAAAACAATAAACCCTGCTGTAGCCATGTGCCACATAAAGACTTTTCAGTCAGTGCTCCAGTGGCCAACCACATATGTGACAATGGTCCCCTAAGAGTAGATGGCCTAGTGAGTATTAGGTGTATTAGTTTGTATAAATAATAGCTATGATATTGTCTTAATGAGAGAGTCACCTAAAATGCATTTCTTAGAATGTAAAACATTTCTCCAGATAAGACTCACACAGACAACAGTCAAAAAAGAGAATCATGGTCTAGTTTTAAATAGCAAAATCCTTCTAGATAATCCCATATAAACCCTGCTATTGTGCATTTTTATTAGTTTCTCCTACTGTCAGAAAGTTTGCTTATCTAAAGTTGGGGGAAAAAAACAAAATTGACTGGAAAAAATCTCTTCAGAAATCTTTATGTCACCTGAGTTGCTCCACGTAGATATGTTTATAAATCTCATAATAGAGATTGATATATATTTCATCTATGTTTAATCATTAACTTTTTTTTTGTCCTGCTCAGATATGTGGGCAAAGTAAAAACGTAATAAAATTATCTCTTCTCTCTTTAGAGGAAAAGAACCAAATTCATAGCTTGTGATTTTCTGACTGAGTGGTTATACAAGTAAGTTGTTCATGTCTTTCAATATTCAGTGGCCTCTGGGAGTCAATTGTGTGAATCTTTAAACAGAATAGCAACAACTGACTTGAATTCTTACTTGTTCTTTTCTTGTCAATCAAACATCTGGCATCGTGACCAGCCAAAATCCAAAGAGGATAAGGGAGCCGTTCACGGAATTCTTCTCCATCCCATGTGTAGAGGAATGGCTAAAGTACCAGTAAGTGTGAATAATTTATTCCTAACCTTACAATTGCATTAATGATGATTTTCTCCAATCTAAGAGAACTAACTCCTCTTATCCACCCAGCACCCAGGATCAGGTATACGTGTATATCTTATCTATGGTTATTTTTAGCCAGGCTAACTACATTCTGTCCTTGCTGTGATTTCATTTCCCAAAGAGATAACATAGAAAATGAACAAATTCTTGTTCTAACAATTTACCTTTCCACTCTCTCTCTTTGTTCATCTATCTCTTTGTCTCTGTCTCTGTCACTATCTCCTTTGAGACAGGGTCTCCTTATATTGCTCAGGTCCTAAGGAGTCTTCCTTTTGCCTCAATCTCTGTTTCTCTCTAAAAGTTTTTGTGCTCAGGAAATATGAAAGCCTTTTCTAACCCTTAATTTCTTGTCAGTTCTCCATGAATGGTATTACAACATGATGCATAACATTAAAAGTCTCTTTGATCATTCTAATCTAGATCTCCTCCTTTCATACAGCTCTTTTTAAAATTAATTTAAACTCATAAAATTAGTTTATATTATGTAAAAGTAGTATTGTTTGAAAAGATTTGTTTTCATCAGTGATGTAATAGTGATAATAATGATAGTAGCTATCATTTGTTGAGCACCTGTGTCACTCTTCTCAACATTTAATAGTAATGAACTAATTTGTTTGTCCTAACAATGCTATATTACCAGCTCTAGTTTACAGATGAGGAAATTTCTGTATTATTCTACAACTTGCTTTCATTTCACTCAAACATTTACTTTTGAGATCTGGTCACGTTGATTTAGTTATATCTAAAGCCTTTTGATGACTTTATGTATTTTATTTTTAGATTATATAATTTATTCATTCAAATAAGAAATATTTCTTGGATACTTCTACATGTCAAGCATTGCTCATGTGGTAGTAACAGATTAATGAACAAAGTAGCATAAAATCCCAGCCTTCATAGAATTTATATTCTAGTGAGTAAGACGGACATTAAGAAAATACTTAGGTAAATCAGAGAGAATGTGTGGCACACTTAGGAGCTAGATTTTATAGAGGATGGTCATAAAAGATCTCACTGAAGGATGATATTCAAGCAGTATTCTATTACTATTTTAAACCACAGGAGGGAAAAAAAAGAGAGCTCATTTTACAGAAAAATAATATATTATTTTGTGTTTAGCTTTGAAAATGTTTCTATGCCACCCTTTTATACGAACAATGTCAGGAAACTGAGGCACAAGGAAATCAAGTTAGGCTTGCCAAGTCACATTCTAAATGGAGTGGAAGACCTTAAATTAGACTCCTAGCCCTAAAGATCACATCTTTTGTTTAAATTTGCCCTCCTTAAGAATGTCAAGTTGAATAGACTGTTGGCTGACTTTCTCAACTTTGAAAATTAAAAAAAAAAAAGAAACCAGCTATTAGAGATTTTTATTCTTTGTTTTCAAATCTGAGACTACACATTGAAAAGGAGAATAGTATCACAAATCTTTGTCTTGTATTCAACTTCTAAATTCTGTGCCTAACTGTGTCAAATATAAACTAGAAGGCCCATATTTCACTTCTTTACATGTATTTTTCTAAGACAAGGTTGTTTTCAGAACCATTCTCCAGGTTGCTGTTTTGCCTTGAAAATGAACCATTTTCTCACTTGTCCTAGGCAGTGAAAACAAGTCTTAAAAATAAGAGCTCTCTACCTAGGGATTCCCTCTAATCCCCAGTCATTCTTTGTTAAGCATCTGAATTCAGTATGGCTGCGGAGATTCACCAGCAGCTCATGCGTATGCCATGAAGATGGAGCAGTGCTTGGGCTGGGCTCCACAGGAACAGAAACAGCTCTTGCTTTACTGGCATTTGTGTTTATACTTCTGTTACCTTCCAGAGAGGTATCCAGAAGCTTGATATTTTTATCAAGTGATAAAACAGTGATAATCCTTTAATTCATTTGATGCAGTCAGTATCTGTTGAGCACTAGAACGCAGAGAGCTTCATGTGGTGGAAAAACAGAGATGAATAAATTATAGCTCCAACCTTTGGGATGAGAGAGATGTGTTTACAACTGGCTGTGGTTTCTGTAACAAGTTTATATTATGTAAAATTAGTAGTATTGTTTGATATGAGTTGTTTCCATCAGTGATGTAACTGGGACGATGATGATAGTAGTAGCAGTTTTTGTCAGCCATTGTTGATTTAAGAAGGCAAATATAACAGAAAAGGGCATCCCAGGCCAAAGGTCCAAAAGGGGCATAGGCAAGAGGTACGTGCTGCAGCCATCACAGTGGACTGCTAGATGTGGTGATGAAACTGGATGATAGAGAATCGATTATGATTTACAGTAAGAGAATGAAGTTTGAGCATTCTTCCATAAGTAAGAGTAAACATAAAAAACGTTTTCCAAAAGTGTAACAGGGATCAGAGTGGGTCAGACAACTCCTGAGACAGAACAGAGGATATGAGACGTTTGGAATAGCCTAGAATTGGTTCTAAGGGTATGATTACAGCACCAAGGTACTTACTAGGGTGATGGGAGTGTAAAACAAGGGGTCATGGAAAAGATAGTTTGGGTAGACAACAAGGAATAAATTTAGCAGCAGAGGAGTGTGTCTGATAAGGTAGCATTTACTTGTGGGCAAATAAATACAGGCAAATAAAGGCCTGTAATAGGGGCAAAGAGACCTAACTAAAAAGCAAGTTCAAGAGTAAAGATGATTTTTGTCTGGGGCACAGTGAAGTTGAGGCACCTATAAGATACACATCCTGGAAACCCTGGCCTAAAGATGGAACTGGGACATTGAGAGAGATGTTGATTTGGGGATTAAGAGCCCCCTGTTGAGATGGACAAAGACTGAATTTTGGGATATCCTAGAGTTGGTTCAAGGTGTCCACGACTCTAAGTTGGCAGTGGTAGCAGTGGCTACCACAACTTCAAAACAAGCAAGCTCACCAATGTCACTGCTTGTTTTGAAATTGTGTTTGCAAAGGCACACACATAGTTGTTTCAACTTACTATGTTAACTTGAAGTGACTTAAGAATCACTATATTAGTTTTATATTACTGCTGTAACAAATCACCATAAACTTGGTAGTTTTATAGCAACACATCTCATCAGACTAAAATCAAGGTATTGGCTGAACTGTATTTTTTGTAAGGGGTGTTCTCAGGGAAAAATGTTTCCTTGCTTTCTGTATCTACTAGAAGCTACCTGCATTCGTGGCTCATTGGCTGAATCTCCATATTCCCAGCCAGCAATGTTGCATCTCTCTGATCATCTTTAGTAACATTTCTCTTGAGCCTCTTTTGCCTCCATGTTTTGCTTATAAGGACGAGTGATTATAGTAACATACCTAGGTAACTCATGGTAATTTCTCTCAAGCTCCTTAATTTAATCACATCTGCATAATCCCTCTTGCTATTGATATATAACATATTGATAGGTTCTGGGACTTCCATGTGTACATCCTTTGAATCTTTATTCTGTCTGTGAGAAAGGGTCATGGGAAATACCAAGGAAAATAAAAGTTCCTCCCTTCTGGGATCACTTATGTTTTAGTGAGGGTCACTTACATTTTAAAGTGGTATTACATGTTTTATAAAAATGATGCATGCTCAGTGAAAAAATTAAAACAGAGACATTAAAGAAAATGGCACCAAATCGCCTAAAGACTTTCATTCCAGGTGTAACCATGTGATATTTTAGTCTTCTTTTTGATATTTCTTCTTTTGATATTTTAGTCTTTTAAACTACTCTGTGCATCTCTACACATACGTAGATATAAGATGTGCACTCATTCTCTGAGACTTGAGCAGAAAGTAAGAGGAAATCTAAGGTGAGGAAAGAAGGGTTGAAAAAGTCTGTGGTGGGCTCTGCCATGCCATGGTTTGTGTCCATTCACGTGGGTGTGGCTGCATCTGCCAGAGGGAGGCTGAGGCAGGGTCTGGAGGATGGCGGGGGAGGGGAGCAGACTGCAGCAGCTGTTATGGTGAAACTGATAGGGAATCAGCTACAGATAAATGGGGTGACCCAGCTGATGGCATGAATTTGTGGTGCAGATAAACAGCCTACGATGTGATTGTCACTAGCAACACTCTGCAACCCTGAAAAGAGGGTGGAAAGTAGAACAGATGGCTGATAAAATCAGGGTTGGAGTCTGGCAGAGCTAATAGTGTAAAAAAAGAAATCTAGATGGTCCCAGGGGATCTTAGGTATAAGTGAAAGCATTGGTATGTCTTCTAAAATAATATCTTACATTTTTCTCATAATTCACCATATTTTTAAAATTATGATACCACTTTAACAATCAGTTCTCAGGAAGAGGAAGAAACGCTGTGGCAGCTATTCAGTTGACAATAAGAATCATACCAAATTCAGACACTAAAATGGGAAAAGTGGAGTCTGTCATAAATCAAGCAAGTATAACTTTAAAAATATCAGCATGTAGCTTTTCACTGGATCCTGATTCAGAGACACAAACTACATAAAAAATGAGACAATTAAAAGGTTGAACATTTAATAGATAGCTGATGTAAGACAAAATTATTGTTTAAGGCATGATAGTAATTTCATAGTCATGATAAAAAGTCCTTTTTTGGATAACCATGCTGAAATTTTAATGTATGAAGTTGTATTGTCCTATGGACACAGAGTGGGACCGGGAAGTTACCATTAAGCAACTGACATGGAGAAGAGTATAATCGAAGCTGGAGAATGGACATTATGGCTTCATTTTATCTTTTCTCTGTTTACTTTTGTGTATCTTTGAAAGTTTTCCATCATAAATAAAAAGAAAAATTAGACTGTTCAAAGTTCCTCACAAGCACCTTTTTGATGGCAGATGGGCTATGGGGAAGGAGGTAGCTGTTGCCTGGCAGTAAGCAAGAAGGGCTGAGGGCTGCTGTCCACTGGACATGGCTGGTGGCAGTGGGGAAACCAAGTGTTCATATGAGCATGCTGAGAAAGTCAAACACCATGAAAGGAAACAGCCCTCGAACAGGGAGAG